CTGATATCTGACCCCTGACCTCTGATATCTGACCCCTGATATCTGACCCCTGACCTCTGATATCTGACCTCTGACCCCTGACCTCTGATATCTGACCCCTGACCTCTGATATCTGACCTCTGATATCTGACCCCTGACCTCTGATATCTGACCTCTGATATCTGACCCCTGACATCTGACCCCTGACCTCTGATATCTGACCCCTGACATCTGATATCTGACCCCTGATATCTGACCCCTGACCTCTGATATCTGACCCCTGACCTCTGATATCTGACCCCTGATATCTGACCCCTGACCTCTGATATCTGACCCCTGACCTCTGATATCTGACCTCTGATATCTGACCCCTGACCTCTGATATCTGACCCCTGATATCTGACCCCTGACCTCTGATATCTGACCCCTGGAGGGTTTGAGAGAAACCATGAGTCCTGCAGCAGACACTGAGTGGAAGAAAGCCTTCAGGGTCAAAGGTTGTTCACCACAGAATAAATTATAATCTGAACAATAAAAACTCAATCTGACACTAAATGAACAGAAAGTTGTTTTGTTTAGATGTTAATAATTGATGAGGAGTTAACTGAACTTTCTGAGTCATCAGGAACTTTTCAACTTGTTAACACTGTCTGATTATTTAAACCTCATTTAAGAAGGGTCAGTGAACAGGACCATCTGGACCAGGGTCACCTGGACCAGGGTCACCTGGACCAGGGTCTGGCTTTAGCCTCTGTTACCATGGAGACACAGCCGCCTCAAACAGCTGGATGTTTTTCTGCTGAGTCATCAGTAGAGCTGCAGGTGATGCTCTGATCATCAGCAGACAGGCTGTGAGGAACATCTGGACTCGGGTGCTGACCGCTCAACATGAGATTATCAGAATAACGGCGGCCATCTTGAGAAGACCTTTTTGTGTGTCTGTGATGTTTGTGTGTTCACTCTGCTGCTGTATGCTGTGTCATCAGGCCATAACCCCTCAGAGAAATCTGTATTTGAAATAAACATATGTCACAACACCGTGTTACCTGGACCGCTTTCTTCACCTGAACAGGTCAGTCTGTAGCTCCGCCCTGTCCTCTAAATCCAGTCAAGAAATGATGACGGTTGTCACAGACAAGAAGAATTCTGCATGGGTCTGGGTCTGACCTGGTTCTGTTCCAGGTAGATGAGGTTTGGACCTGCTACAGTCTGATCTGAGCTGGAACAGAACCTGTTGATGTTTTTACTGTGATTTCATGCTCCACCTGGACAGGTAAAGCCCTAACAGACGTTTACCTGGAAGGCGGAGCCTCCTGGGACCTGAGAGGACTCAGCTGGTAAAAGGACTGCCTTAATTAAAACCAGAGTCCTCCTGAGAGCAGCAGAACCTGAGTGCTGAGAAGAGTCCTGCAGCACAGAAGCGAGGTTCTGATGTCCTGCAGTCTGTTCTACAGCTTCTCCTCAACAGGAACATCCTTCAGGTTCTAACACTTTTTCATCACTTCAAGATTAACATTGTTTTTAGTGCACGTTATAGATGCTTCGTGTTTTCTGGTCTTCAGGGTCGTATGTCCTCCAGGGATTAGTAGAGCTCCTGTTTTCAGTAGATCCAGTGTGTTCCAGTACACACCTGAGCTGAGTGACTACTGGTACCAGAATAATTTAGTAACGTAACATATGATGGTTTCAAGTACAGCAGGAAACACAGAGCAGAAACCTCGTGTACAAAGACTTGCGTGGATTTCTTACTGAAACGTGACGTACGGTCAAATCCAGAGAACGGCTTACGCACAAAAAAGATCCAGATGTATCAAACTGTGTACGCCTGAATCCACGCACATTTCTTTTGTACTTCTCAATTAACGTGGACCTGAGCGCAGGTAAGACTCCTGCCCTGACACACCTTCATTAACATGTTAAACAGATGTAAATTACTTCCTGTTTGTTTGAAGGACACGTTTGTTTCATCCCTGTGATCAGAAATGATTTCTAGAGTCAGAAAAATAAATTAAATATAAATGGACTGTACTTTTGTACAGCGCTTTTCTATCCAACCAGGACACTCAGAGGTCTTCACTCTACAATCTGTGTCCTCATTTATCCATCCACACAGCTCTCTGTTAGCTCTCTACAGAGATAACAGGTACAATCATCTGTGAGACTAATCAGTCCAATCACATTCAGACACTGATGGGACATCAGAGGCATTAGGACTGAAGGGTCTTGCCCAAGGACACAACAGCTGAGACAGCTGGACGGGGGATCAAACCGGTGACCTTCCAGTTCCAGGACGACTCCACTAACCACTCTGCCACAGCCGCCCCATGATGTGAGTGAGAAATATTCCTGAGTAAGCATAGGAGTCAGGGTTAACTCCCTTTGTTTATTTAATAGTTGATATGTAGAAACGAGTCGCTGCACCTCAGTGTTTTCATGATGTAGGTCATTTAAATACTAGAATCATACAGTATAGGTGAGGCTGTTCCATTGGGCAGGACTCAGGGTGGACTGGACCGGCACGGTCCTGATCGGTCTGTCAGATCTTTTTGGAACCAGTGTGAGCTGCTGCTGCACGAGCAGCGCACGGCTCCTCGCTGTGTTGCGCTTCCAGAACGCCGCAGTGCCAAACTCGTCATCATGGACCATAAAATTCTCTCTGTGTATAAGTACACACTCTGAAATACACACTCTGCGTGGTACACTCTTTCAGAACTGTGTGACTCCAGCCCTGGAGTTGAGGCTTCATTTCGGTTTTGATACATCTCGAGTTTTGCGTGGAAAATGGCGTACACAAGGTTTTTGTGCGTACGTACCGTTTATACATGAGGCCTCTGGAGTTTTTATAGTTCAGTTACGTCACACAGGTGATAAAAGGTGCTGAGCTGTGATTGGTCCTGCTGCTCCCAACAGGTGTGTGACGACATCATGAACCGGTGGCGTCGTTCCGTGGATGAGCTGGCTGCGGGGCGGAGACAGCTGGTGGAGTGTGAGCGCGCTCAGGACGCTCTCAGTCGAGTCACTTCCTGTTTCCAACAGCTGGTGGCGTCTCTGGGCAGCTCCGCCGATGGGAGCTTCCTGCGAGAAGAGATGGACGAGACCAGAGCACTGGCTCACCGGATATGTGCCGGTACAACCTCTCTGTCTCTCACCTGTCTGTCTCTTACCTGTTAGCTACCTGTCAGTCAGTCTCTTACCTGTCTTTCTGCAGGTATGTCAAGCCGTCTGCTATCCCTGCTGTCAGACTCTAACACCACCCACTCAGGTGTGGAGGGAAGACAGGTGTCAGAGCGCCTCTGGGTCTTCTTCCTGTCTGCACTGGAGAACTTCCTGTCTGACCTCAGAAAGGCCAAAGACCTGATTGGACAGTTTCCTCTAACTCAGCGCTCAAATAGACGTTCACTGGTCAACACAGGTGAGTTGTTGTCACCACCCTCTGGTCAGTGGAAACTCTGTGACTGGACTGGGTCTGATACAGCTCTGATATTTATTTATAATTGTACTATTGTTGTACATTTGGTGATTTGCTTTATATTTTTGTACAGCTGCTATGTTGTTTTTTAAGTGCTTTAGAAATAAAGTAGAATGGTCTGATCCAAAACTGAGGGGTTTACTCTGGGTCTAATCCCAAATGCTGTTCATTGACTTCAGCTCAGCCCGTCCGTCCATTTTCTTCCTCTTATCCAGGGTCAGGTCTCGGGGGCAGCAGCCTCAGCAGAGACCCAGACCTCCCTCTCTCCAGACACT